GGTCATTCAACAAGTGCATAAAAATAATAAAATATAGATAGACAGGAGGAAACGACGAAAACGAGTCTGGTAGAAGACAAATATAAAACTTTATTTGAATAATAAATAATCTTCTCATCAGTGGAGCCTATCAGAAAAAGTAAGGGCTGTTCTTAGCCAGTAGACAGATTGTATTATGTAGTGACCAGTAGAATGTTAAAGTTCCGCGCCAAAACGAAAATCAAAATGGCTAAGGCGGGAAAAGTTCTTCAGAAGGAAGGTTCTCGAATATTGTCTTCTTGCACAAAAGGTGTATGCGTACACAATAAGGAAAAGTACTCACTGCGAAGTTTAATAATGTGTGTGTATTGTTATCTTTTTTTAGAACTGGTTCGTAAAGGTTAGAAGTTTCAAAGGTGTATGAAAAGTTCAACAATCTTCATTGAAGAAAATTCTTCGTTCCCTGATAGTGAACGGAGGGAATTCGAACAAGTTGTTCGCTGAAGGACAAGGGATTAGCGTTAAGTGTGTGGTGCCGACCGTGTCGTAGACTATACGTTTCTCTAGTAAGAAACGGAGGACAGTTCGAATTAGTTGTTCGCATTATGACGAATTAGTTCTTACAAAAGTGCGATGACGACAGTGTCGTAAGCTCTCGAAGTAAACAATAGTCTGTTTTTGTTGCATGAAAAATTCCAAAGCAACGACTAACTCGTATATACGAGACGCGGAAGCGAAAATCGCGTCGCAGCTCATGACGTCACACATGACCACGTGAGAGTGAAAAACGAGAAGTATTAAGTATGGGAAGCCGTTGGTATAAACCAATGGCTTCTGTTACCAATTATAGACATTTAAGTATATTTGTGGAGATTTCATAGTTTATTTTGTTCAGGTTAGGTTTCAACTGTTTTATGTAAATAGCTCCAAGAATTTTGAGTTTTTGTTTATTCTTTTCATGTTTAAGTATAGTTCAATAAGGATTTTCCGGAATTGTGTAGCGGCCAGGCATGTTGTTTTAAATGTCTAAGTATATATATATGTTAACTGAAAAGTAACCCCTAATTTTTAATTACTTATAATTTATTTATTAACTATAATTTTTACAAGAATTTACGATATGAGAGGAAAGCGTTTAGTATGAGGTTTTATTTCAAATTCAATATGGGTACCAGATTTCGCTGCTAGCTTCCTGGGTTGCACAGGAATCATGTTAACTGATTTCACCAGGAATTCTTATGATATGGAAGACATAACTTCATGTATCCGCCCTTCAAATTCTTCCAAAGTATTGGTTTGCTAAAATAGACTTGCTCCTTCAATCAACGCCAAAGAAAAAAGGTCACAGGATGTTAAGTTAGGATTCCTGGCTGGCCACTTATACATAAAATAGGGAGTTACTTTTCAACCACACTATATATATATAATATGGGGAGTGCCATATTTTTTAATCCAATCTAAGCATATATATATGTATGTTAGGAGGCACGGTGGAGTAATGGATAGCGGCTTGGATTGAGGAATCGCAGAGCCGAGTTCGAATTCCAGTCGAATCCATTACATTCACTTACGTGCTAATACCCTTGGGAGAGGTATGAATCCTCTTCCTCTCCCTCCAGCTATGGGTAAAATAGCAGGACAAACTGGGTTCTATAGCCTTGGATGGCAACTGGTCTAGGAGAAGGACAACTCTGAATTCAAAACCTGCGGAGGGTCGTTTGGGAACCTTGTGGCATTCGGTGCACCAGGTCTCTGTATTCGTCCCTTCAAAAAGTGTGGATGGTCCTGCACGAGGTCTTCACCACTATAATCAAATCTCATGTTCAGGTGTCGGGCTGTCGGTTTCCTGGAAACTGATCTGCTTGACCCTCATACGTCGAATCTCGACGGGAGAGTCGATTGTATATGTTTAAATAATTGTCTGACTTTATCCATTTCATAATATATATATATATATATATATATATATATATTGTGGGTATTTAGGCAACATCTTTTCATTCATACACGTTTCATTAAATAATATAGACAAGTGTTGTCTATTTATTTTATGTAAATTCTTTTCATAACGTCTGATAAGTTTAATAACATTATCATTAAACGAAGAAAGAAATTCACAATATTGATCCATATTTTTTAATACAATCTAAGCTTTCGGCTTACATAAGCCATTATCAAAGATGACAGTTACAACATATTAAGCAATATACGGACAAGACAGTGGTGATTGTCTGTCATTGTTTACATAGATGATTTCTAAGCAACGATAAACACGTGCATATAAGACGCTAGAAGCGAAAATCGCACCGCATCTCATGACGTCACACATGACCAAGCAAGAGTGAATTGGAGAAGTATGAAGTATAAGAAGCCGTTGGTATAAATAATTAACAGAAGCCATTGGTTCATCTGTGAAATGGCGTCTGTTTCAATTTTGTTCTTTTTATAGCACCAGACCCGCTTATTTCTTTGATCCGACCTCGTCTGTGTCTAAGAAAGCAGGTATGACGATTTTGAGGTA